AACTCACAGACTGCGAGATCATGACCTGAGCCCAAGTCGGATGCCCAACCGACGAAGCCACCCAGGCGCCCCTGATCCCAATTATTTAAAAAAATCCTAGAAGGGAGTCCTTTGTCCCATTTAAGGTGTCGCACATGTTGGGAAGTTGGATGGGCCTGGTGACTTATAAAAAAAGAAAAAAGGTGAAAGCTGACTAGCAGATAGAGTCACACTGTGTGATTCTGTGTGAAGCCTGGGTGATTCTGGGTGAATGGACCTCTCCTTGTCCCAGTTGGCCCATCGGTAGAAGCAGGCCAGTACGACCAGAGCAGCTTGATTTCTTAAACCAGGCGGCTCCCCGGTACACAAAAAGATTAACCCTGAGGCCCCCCGAATCCGGACCAAGGTCTGGATTTCTTCAACCTGACACTGGAACGAAGTCTGACTCACCAGGAATTCTCCTTCCCTCTTAATAAGATAAAAAGGTACCAGATGATTCACAAGACAAACAAGAAGGAGAAAGACAAGATGGTCAGGGTCAAGCCAAGACCGACTTAGGAAGTTAACACTTACACAAAGACAACACAGAGTGAGTTCTCAGGGCCACAGCCCCATTCCGAGAGACAACAGGTAAAGAACACAGATCTGACCCCAAAGAAAATCACAAGAGAGTCTGGAAGTAATTCCGGCTTTCAAACACACCCAGGAAACGGAGACCAGCCACAAGGAAAGCCAGCGGAGAGGATACCCAGGCCGGGCTCAACCCACCAGAGGCCCTCCAGTGAGCCTGCAGGGGACCACCACTGGGGGTTAGAGTCAGGGGACAGGGGACACTCAGGCTGAACCCACCAGAGAGCTCCCAGTGACCCTGCAGGGGACCAACGCCGGGGAGGTCAGAGTCGGGGGACCGGGGACACCCGGCCCCGGAACGCTGGCCCAGACCAACCTTGCTCCGTCCGAGAAATGCAGACTACAATGACAGTGACAGAAGGAGACGGGCAAAACCCGCAGCCGCATGCGCGGCCTGAGACGAGGGGCAGAGTCCCGGCGGCGGGAGGCACGACTTACCGCCGCGGGGACGCGGGACTCCAGCTCCGAGCCGCTGGTGAGTCGCACGGCAGGGGGGACTCCCTCCGCGGTCCGCAGGCTCCGGGCCGTCACCGGGGCTCCCTCTCTGGGTCCCTGCGTGGTCGCCAAAGTACGATCCCGACCCCGCGGCTCTTTGGCTCTCGGCGCAAACAGAAATCGACATGAGGCCGAGAGAGGCGTTTCCCGGGGCTTATCCTCCGGCACCAGCGCGGCGCCAGGCGCAGAAGTCCCCGCCGGCCCCCGGCACCGGCCCGCCGTTGGCAAAGCGGCTGAGGCGGGAAAGACGGAACGCCCGGGCTTGCGGGGCGGGGAGAAGCTGGCGCGCAGGCGCACTGGGCAGCACGCGCCGCCACCTGCCCCGCCTGTCTCATTAGCATGTTAGGTCTCCACCCCTGGCTGTATTTGCGTATTATAATGAGGAGAGAGCAGGTGATGGGCCGGCGCCGGGGTCCACCTGGGCGTGGGCCGGTGTAGTCCGGTTTCCGGTGCTGAGTTCTTTCTGGCAAACATCCTGCTTCCGCATTCCTGTGAGGTCTCCGGCCCTAGAACGTGTAGCTCAGCCCGCTCTTCTAGGGGGATAAGCCCAGAGCAGCAGCGAGCTCCGTGGTTAGGGCCGGGTGGGGGGAGGGGACCCAACACAGCCACTGTTCCATCTCGGACTAAGTTTAGCCGGCGAAGTTAGGAAGGGCCTCCTAGAGGAAGGGAGGGATTTTCAGAGACGGGAGGACGAGCCAAGAACCAGCTTGTTTGGGGCAACAGGGGCCCCTTGGGGCTGCATCACATTTTTGATGAGGGAGCCAAAGGCAAGCTGACACCCCGCAACACCTCACCACCCACCCTCCCCACCCCCCCCCACCCCCCAACCGCCAGGTGGGATCTCTGTGACATTCCTCAGGCACTGGGGCTGCCCAAGAACAAAGGAAAGGGGAATGCAAATGGTTAACCGGTAGAGATCACAGTCGTGCAGGACGTGAGTCTATATCAGTTTACAAAATGTCTTGGTAAAGGACAAGAAAAAGGCAATCTTATCAAGACTCTAATCTTCAGAAACCTATATTTTCAGTTTCCCAGAGCCCCAACATGACCTTCCCCTCCCTAGCGATGTGGGGAATAAAGGCAAGAAGGAAATGGTAAATAACATTGAATTTCTGTGTAACCTGCGGCCCACTGACAAGTACTTGAGGCAAATACAGAGTACGACGTTTCTCCGGGAACCCCCTCCCCTCTTAATGTTAACGCCTTACTAGAGGGACAACAACCTTAGCTTGACCTTGGCCGGGGCTCCTGTATCTTAAGCGCCCCCTGTAGTATTTGAAAGTCCTTCTGGGGCTCCCTGCCTTTTACCTTGACCTCCCCCAAGTCCCTAGTATATGACCAGTCACTCCTCACGACCCCAGTGCCACTCTTCCTGCCCACGGATCCCCGTCCCCGTGCCTTAATAAAATCACCTTTTTGCACCAAAGACGTGTCAAGAATTCTTTCTTAGCCATCAGCTCCAGACCGCCACCACTCCAAGACCCCATTAGTAGTAATAATAATAATAATAATAATATAATGTTTTTGCTCTCAATCTCTCAAAGTTTTCAAGATGGCATGATTTGTGATACTCCAACACTGAGTACAGCAGCAGATGTAAAGGTGCAGCCCATCTTTTAGGAGAAGCCAGACATTAGCCTTGCAGAAACCTTAAAGAATGCCACATTTCTCAATAACATTTATTTTGCTTTGGAAACAAGTGATTCTTCATAAAACATGTTTTTCCTATTAACTTATCATTGGTTTATTATTGCTATTTTCATATAAATTATAAATACAGTTTTTAAATGTTTCAGTTTCAACCTTCAATGCCATAAATGTTCACAGATATAACCCAAGTGAGCAAGACTCTTTGGGGTCCTCAATAACTTTTGAGGTATCTTACTTAAGTGGCCTGAGGTCAAAACGTTGGAAACTGCTGCTTTGCCCACTGAACCTGAACCTTGCGATCCACTCGGGGCAGTTCTCACCAGCTCAGCTGCGACCTTAACCCTTAAGCCATACTCAGTCACTGAGTACTGACTCCCAGTTTATTGAGGGGACACCCGAGCCAGGCCAACGCGGGTCTTCATCTTTCATCTTTCTTCAGCTCAGTTCTAGGCTAGGAGTGCAATCTGGAAATCTCCGGGGGGGGGGGGGGGGGGGGGATAGAAATGGGACCACCAGCTCTCCAACCCCCATAGCTGTAACTGAGGCTGGACAGCACCCAGGCCCTTCTCCCTTCCCTCCCCCCAGGCTTGGCTTCCCGTCCCTGACCTCCTGTTATGGTTTCCCTCCCCTTACAGTGGGTCCTGTGTCCCTCACCCCGAGTCCACAGAGCCTGGTGCCCGGGCATCAGGCTGACCGTGTCACGCTGATGTTAAAACCCGTCACTGTCTCCCGCTTCCTTCCAGGTTGGGAGCCGTGTGGCAGCACGGCTCCGAGACCGGCCCGTGCCCCCGTGGTCACCAGCAAATGAATCGGGAAAGCAACAGCCTGATGAGGGCCAGGCAGGGCTGGGCCTGAAGAGGGTGTCCAGGAGGCCTCTGGAGGCGGTTCTTGACATGACCCGTTTCCTGCCAGGGGTGCCGGGGCCCTCTACTTGGCTCTGAGACCAGGGAACTGACCCTGGTGGCTGCGCTGGGTCCCCGTCCTGTGAAGGATCAGGCCGCCCTCGGGCACTGCGACCCCCCGGGCCCCTGTGAAGGCTGGGCAGATGAAGAGGGGGCTGTCATCAGACCCCAGCCTGAAGAAGGGTCTCAAGGGCCCAGAGAAGGGTGAGCGGGGACACGTGTAGATGTGTGACCGGTCCCTCATGTTATAGAAGGAGATATCTCCAGCTTCGTAGTCCAGAAAGATGCCCACGCGGCGAAGGCGCTCTTTCAGGGGGAGGATCTTCTCGGGGGAAGACAGGACCCGGTATTGGTTTCCAAACATCTCCAGGGTCCAGAAGCCATTCCGAGGAACCAGTAAGGCCTCTCCTTTCCTTTCGACATTGTCTCTACAAAGCCCCAGAGCCCACACCATCACGTTTTCGACCTCCACCTCCCAGTAGTGCCTCCCCGAGGAGAAGCTCTCCAGGCCCAGGACACAGGGCCGGCAGTCGAACCTCTCGGGGTTGTCAGGCACACTCTGCCTGGAGGGGCCTCGCCTCACACCTCTCCAGTCCTCTGTCAGGAACAGCTCAGGATGTGCCGTGTCTGGGTCTAGGACCACGTCAGCTGCAGAGGAAGTCTCCCGGTTAGGTCTGGGGTCTCAGGAGACGGTGCTGCTCCCGGACCCCAGAGAGGGCCCAGGAAGGTGGTGGGAGATCCCCGTGGGGAAGGCCCCCTGCACCTGCTCCCGGGCAGGAAGCCGGCTCACAGACTTGCTGAGGCTGCTGGTCTGTCTCCCGAGTGAGGGGACACTGCCTCAGGCCGGGGACAACCCTAAACAGTGGGGGAACTTTAGCAAATGAACTGAAGTTAGTGGCCCCTGCTTTCTGTCATCATCCTCAGATCTGCCCCCTTGTCTATTCAAGACGGAAGGTGTCTGGGACTCTCTTTACCTAGGAAGTTCCCAAGCGGGGCCTAAACCAGCCAAGAGGCCCCTCTCCCAATGAAGCAGTTAAGGCCAGTTTTTCCCTGCGGATTCCTGGGCGGCAAGAGGTCCTTTCACAGGTTGGGTGTGTTCCGCCAGCTTAAACGGTCGACAGCTGATTGAAGTGACTCACAAGGGCATCCTTCACAGGGGACAAAGACAGGAGAAGGTCTCCACAGGCCACCCTGCTTCTGCTCTATCAACACGGGTGTGAAGTCTCCGTCGGTGACCTCTCTGGAAACGGGGAACGCTTGGGCCCCCTGCCATCCCGCAGACGGCTCCCCACCACCGCTGTCAGTACTTAGCCCAACTACATTTCTATCGCGTTAAAGTGACTTTCTCCCTTCCCCGCGTTGTTGATATGCCTGACTCTGACAGTTTGGAAGTTCACCCAAAGAGGAAAGGTCCGAGGACCATGGCATCTGGTACGGCCTGGACTCCTTGGCGCTTTGGAGCACAAGGGGAGAAACCAGCGGAGGCACAGTGCTCGTGGGGATGAGGCATTAGGATCCTGTCCCCGCACCCCGCCCCCGGCCACCCCCCCCTCCACTTCCCTCCCAAGCCAGACACACAGTAACCTGGGAAGCAGAAAGGCGTTTCTTAAGAGCTGGGACCCAGGGCTGCAGGGGTTACTGCCAGGGAGCTGACCCCAGCGCCCCCCACCCCAGCTGGCCTGCACCCCAGTTTGTGTGCGCTAATCGGCCCCGGTGGCTGGCCAGTGGGGAGGAGTTGTGGATGTGAGGGAGTGTCAGAGGCTCACCGGCATGTAGCAGGGTTCTTCTCCATCCTGCAACAGAGGGACAGGCAGAGGTGAGCTCTGGGAGGGGGGACAAACGGAGCAGAGCACCGACGACGGCACGGGACACGTCAGGAAATGCCAAACTTACGCAGTTCTTCTTGAAGTTGCTCTGAAAAATAAACAGACGCACGTGAGTGTCCTCAGTGGAAGAAATAAGAGAATTTGAGTTTGAATCAAACGAGGAAGGACGGGCCTTTCGTGGACACCACGGGCCCCCTCCCCTCCTGCCTATGGGACTGTCAACGTTCCACAAACGGTCTGTGAGCCCAGGGTGGGCCTTCTGAGTGTCCATGGGGTTTGCTTCTGTTCAACAAGACAGCCCTGTGGGCAGGGGGGTGGCGGGGCCTCTGCAGAGTGGGAGCAAGCTGCGAGGGCGGGGCGGGTCCCAAGATGCCACCGTTCCCAGCCCCTTGCTGCCGCCTCTGTTTCTTGCCTCCCTGTGCCCGGGCTTCTAGCTGTCAGAGCTGTGTCCCCCTGTGACCGTGACCTGTCCTCCTGCTCTTTTACCTCTGATCTCATGTTCTTTCTCTTTTTCCACATCTTCTTTCCCCAGTTCCTGACATGCGGTTTCTCTCTCTTCATTCTCAACCTCTTTTTCCCGGTGGACTTTCCTGGCGAGACAGAGGACTCCAGCGACGAGGAGCAGCAGAGAAGGCGGGAGGGCAGCGAGGCCCGCCATCCGGGGGAGTGTGCGGGGGGGCAAGGATTCTGAAAAGGGAGCCCGAAAAGCCCCATATCGTGAGAAAAAGGAGCCCCAGGATGAGAGAGCCCCATTGGAAGAGCTCCCTGGGGTCCCTGCTCTGCCGCCTTCTCTCTCAGAAACCCCAGAGAGGGCCCCTGGCCCTACCCCGGCTCATCCCGCGGCGATCGCCGGGGCTGGGGGCCCAGGCGACAGAAAGGCAGCACACCTGAGTCACCGTGGGAAGGATCGGGGTGAACCGAGCTAACTGGCCACCACCAGGCACAAACTACCATCCCTTCCTTCCTGCCTGAGATTTCGCAATCCCTTATTCTGGGCCGCTGCCCATACTGTCTACAGTCTATCCTCAGCACGGCAGCCAGAGCAAGGTCATGTCACTTCTCTGCTTAAAACCTCGCGGTGTGTCCTATCTCACTTGGACCAACTCACTGACGTCGCCCCGCCTGCCCACAAGCCACGCCTGCCCTTTGGGGTTCCCCCAAACTGCTAGACAGGCCCCTGCCTCAGGCCCTTTGCATGTGCTGCTCCTGCTTCCTGGGTTGCTGGGTCCTCACATATCTGCCCAGTTCATTCCTCACTTGCCCAACCGCCATCTTTTCAGCGACGACTTCCCTGAGCATCCTCTTTGTAATTACAACTCCCCCATGCCCCCTGGTGCTCCCCTCCCTCCCCCCAATTAATTTTCCTACACTACTTATCGTCATCTGATATAGTCTGCAGTTTAATTAATTATTTCACCTCTTGCTCTCTGTTACTCTAGAATGAGGGTAGGGATCTTTATGTATTTTGTTCACTGATTTATCTTTGCTTTCTAGCACAGGGCCTTGAGCACAGGTGATGCTTGCTAAGTATCCGTTGGACGAATGTGTGTGCGCGTAGATAGAGTCCCAGCCCACCCCTCGCTTCCCTTGAGAAATTCCACCGACAGGAAGGGAGACCAGGCAGCACCTCCGGGTGTAGGTAGCCACTTGTCCATACCGTTGTCCACTTGTGACTGTTCTGAGTGTTTAAACATGGCCACGGGGGCCCCTGGCTGGCTCAGTCAGAAGAGCAGGTGACTCTTGATCTCGGGGTCATGAGCTCAAGCCCCACGGTGGGTGCAGAGATTACTTAAATACATAAATACACTTTAACAAAAATAAAACAATACAAATTGCTGCAGGATCAGGACCAGAGCAGAGAAAAAACCACCAGATCGACCCTCAGAGAAGACTGTTTGGTTTTCCCCTTGGGACGAGGGGAGCGGCCTCCAGCTCCGTGGGGTGCAGGACCCCTCTGCCCCACGTTTCTACCTCCCCAGGCTCCAGTCTGTCCGTCTGAGGATTCTGCCTCCACCTGATGGGCCTCCAGAGGGCAGGGAACCAACCTGGAATGAAAATCACAGTTTCCTTCTCCCGGCCAAGCAGGGTGTTGTTGACGGAGCAGGACGCGTTCCTCACAGAGCAGTCCCTGATGATCACGGCCACGGTGACCGTGAAGAGGCCGTCGGCGTCCACAGTGTAAGCCTCCTCCAGGGCGGGCATGATCTCACCGTAAGGGTCCCTCCACACCGCGTGGGGCTCTGGGTACCACCCTACGGATGTGCACTCCAGCCGGATGCCTCCGTCCTCATGGCCCTTCATTTCAATGAGGGGCTTGGAGCCCAGGCCTGGGGACAGAGACCAGGGCTCAGCTAAAAAGGCAACAACAGTGTCTTAGCCAAAGTGTCTTAGATCAGCCCCCAGTGAGGAGAGCCCAGGGAAGGAGACAGATGGCCAGTGGCCAGTGGCCAGAGAAACTGGTTATGCCCACAGCACCCTTGCCATGAAGGGGGGGGGGAAGGAAGGGAGGGACAGAGGGAAGGAAGCAAGAGAACACCAGGAGACCAAGAGGCCAATGGATCGTGAGATCTCTGAGGACAGGATGACACGGCACTTTGCTTTGTGCTCTACCTATGACCCCATCACAGTGGCACACATCCGTCTGTCTCCTAAGTGTTCGTTGACCGATTTGATTCAGTGAGAGAGGTTAGTTTGCTCACTGCTGGGTGAGAATGTGCACTCTGGCCTGAGACGGGCAGGTTGAGGATTTCACTTTCTGTCCTGGGAGGACTTGTCAGTAGCATTGGCTTTCCGAAGCTCCAGAATCACATGACAAGGACAGAAACCTGCCAGGCCAGCAGAGTCTTAGGAAGCTTTTGACCTCGAGACACTGTCCCTTCTCTCCTGGCTAATTAGGGTTTCACATCATCGCAGGTCATAAGGAGTGGTTGGATTTTGGGAGAATGGACAGAGCTAGAATACGAAACCTACCCTTCCCCCAATTCAGGGAAGTTTACCTCCGAGGGGGCTCAGTCAGCGAGGTGAGTTCCTTAAGTCCCTCCACAACACCTACCTAGTAGAAAGATCTGGATGCTCGTGGGATCCTCGAGAAACAATATCACGTCTTCAATGTCAGCAGAACATCACACAAAATCCTGAGCCCAGACTTTTTCAACTTATTCTATCTTTAAAAGAGAATACTAAAAAAAAATAAAAAATAAAAAAAAATAAAAGAGAATACTAATGCAAGACCTGAAAACGCACAGTCTTAGGAGACTTCTGCCCCATTAGCCAGGGGTCCAGCGATCATCCAAACTGTTTTGCTTTATTTTATCTTATTTTATTTTATTTTTATTCATTTTAGAACAACAGGGCAAAATAAAATTCCAGTTTATTGCTGGACCACACTGTCTCATCCAAACTTCTAAGTAATTCGTTTGTTCGGGCTAGACAGCAAATTAAAAGGTAAAATTGAGACAAATTAAGAGGCAAAAAGACAAAATTAAAGCAGTTGCTTAAGCCTTAGTGCTACCTGCTCCATCTGATTTTTGCCAAGAAGAAAGAAACAAAGAAACAAAGAAACAAAGAAACAAAGACTAGTTGCGTATGGAAAGGCTCACACAGAAACTCTGAAGCATGACAAGACTCAAAAGAACTGGGCAGGTTGGAAGGAAATTCTACAAAATTGGGTTCAGTAAGGGCAAGCATTAGACAACAGACTTGAGGACGAAACCAGCCAGCCAATTAACCAAATGAGAAAACAAGAAACGAACAAACAATTCCACAGTTCAGCTCGGAGCAGGGCAGGCCAGGCCAGGGTCGCGTTTACAGGGAAAGGACAGAGGGTTCCCACCGCTTGCAAACCCATCCCGGTCGCCTGCGCAGGGCTGCTGTGAACAGAGTCAGAGCACCAGGGTGAGAAATCTTCCCGCCACAATATTTTCTTTTTTTTTTTTTAATTTTTTTTTTTCCAACGTTTATTTATTTTTAGGACAGAGAGAGACAGAGCATGAACGGGGGAGGGGCAGAGAGAGAGGGAGACACACAGAATCAGAAACAGGCTCCAGGCTCCGAGCCATCAGCCCAGAGCCCGACGCGGGGCTCGAACTCACGGACCACGAGATCGTGACCTGGCTGAAGTCGGACGCTTAACCGACTGCGCCACCCAGGCGCCCCAATATTTTCTATTAACTACATACAAGGTTGCCCTTCTCAGTAACAAAGATGGGGGCTCCTATCATCTGTGAA